GAGGGGGTCAACATCAATTCTTGTGCATGTGGATATCCAGTTGTCCCAATACCATTTGTTCAAAAGACTATTCTTTCACTACTGGCTTTATATCAGTGTCCAAAATGAATTAACCATAGTGAGAGTCTACTTCTATACTCTCAAGCCTATCACATTGATTGACACACATGTCTATCTTTAAATCAGAATCACACAGGCCTAATTACTTTGGGTGGGTAGTTAAGTTTCCAAGTGTGAGTCCTTCAGCTTTGTTCTTTTCCAAGATTATTTTGGCTATCTTGCTTGAATTTCCATATAAATTTTAGGATCAGCTTGTCAATTTCTATAAAACACAGGTGGGATTGTTTTGAATGTGTGCATATCAATTAGAGAACAGATACCTCAATGTCTTCTACTCCAGGAAAACAAAACTACATTCTATTAAGTTATTTCATTGACATTTTATAGTTTTCATTGTATAAGATTTTCTTGAATTCATTTTTAGATTGTTCACTGCAAGTGTATATAACTCATGTTTTTATAAACTGATCTTGTCTCTTGCAATCTTGCTAACTCAGTAATTCTAAGTCTTTAAAACAGATTGCTCCGATTTTATATATGAGATTACATAATATGTAAATAGAATTATTTGATTTCTTCCTTTGTCATCTAGATTCCTTTCTGCCTCTTATCCTTATTTACTTGTTTAGTGACTGGCTAGATTATTTTAGTGAAATTTGTTTTTTCCTCTCCCACATTCATATTAATCAAACCAAATGTAAAGTATTATAGCCAGTCCACATTTAAAAGTTACAAATTAACAAATATATACAAAAAGCTAGGATGGGAAAGACTTCAACCCACTGACAAAAAAGTTTAAGGGAGCTGGAGATATTTAAATAAAGTAGATTAGACCAGTAGGCATTATATGGATGCAAACTTTAGCTTAGTATTAAAAGAAAAATTTTAATGAGTAGTCTAACAGTGGCAAATGCCACCTTATAAAACAATGAGGTTAACTTTTCTGGAAAGTTGGAAAGAATGAGGATTGAACCCAGAGGCACTCTACCACTGAGCTATATCCTCTGCCTTTTTTATTTTGAGAGAGTCTCATTAAGCTGCTCACTGGCCTATAACTTGAGATTCTCCTGCCTCCTACATGGCTAGAATTGCAGGCATATACCACCATGCCTGGGTGAGGTTTCCAGAAGCAGAAGTTTCAACCTGCCATGACTGTTGAGGATGGTGTATTCTTTAGAAGAGGAGATCTGAGTAGATCATCACTAAGGTTTTTACATTTTCTATGACACTCAAGAATTGTGGAGCTTGAATGCAGCCATTCTGACATAATGAAAAGTTCTTTACAAGCCTACAAATATATATTACAAAGAAATTATTTTTCATTTCTAGACAAATGTTTACAAAGATACCATAAATGTTTTCTTATCAAAGAGAACCTCTGAGATTACCCAATTTGAAGTATTTTCCTGATTAGTCACATTTCTAGTAGCTCAGTTTATAAACAACTGGCAGAAGGATTGCATGTTACTGATCTAAGACATCAATTAAAACTCACTATCAATATTTCCTCAGTTCTTACAAAAATAAAAAATTAATGAAGTAACTGAGATTCAAAACTTACCAGAAGAAATCTTACCAGCACCTTTATAATCGACAGAAAATGCAGATGCTACTCCATTGGCCGGCCCCAGTTCACACATGGGAATTTGGTAAGGGGGCCTTAGCTTGATTTCCATCTGCATGTCAGACAGATTTATTTTTGTTGAAAGAGACCTGGGATTATTATATCGTTGCTTGGTCCTCTGAATGAAGTTATCTATGTAAAATAAAAAATAAGTTTCCTGCAGTCATTGGTTAATTAAATCATTTGAGAGTGTGATGACAATAAATTTTAGTCTATTTTTTATTAAAAATTATTCATTTTCCATGCAATTTCTAATATTTGTGTTTATATGTAATCATGGAGTCATCATGATTACATGTAGTTTTACATTCTACACGTAACTGTAATTGAACAAATAGTTTAACACTACCTGAGTGTACTATATCCACTTTGAGGAATTACAAAACCAAAAAACAGCTTAACTTTAAACCAGTCTTAATCTTTATGGGAATTCTTGTCTCATATAAGATTAAACCTGTTAGACTTACTAGTTGTAATTATAAAAGATCATATGCAATTAGTTATGTTTTTCTAAGTCTGTTTTCTAAGTTACTGCTTACACCATTAGGATGTGTATTTTAAAGGATAAATTTAATGAAAACAATAAATGATACTTCTTAAATAGCTTCCAAGTAGAATTTTATTTTACTATTTACAACTTTAGGAGTCTCCCTCACCCCTTCTACACCAAGAATTCAGCGAACTATAGGCCACAGGTCAAACCTAACCCTATCTATTGGCTACTTTCAAGCTACAATGGCAGAGCTGGCAGTTGTGGCCAACTATATGATCCTTAAAGCCTAAAATATGTTTGTCTGGTCCTTTCCAGCAAATATTTGCCAACTACTTTTCTACATTAAGCAAGCCATAAAGATTGTCACACAAACACAAAACTTTGAATCTCTGCCTTGTAAATTTCTCATTGAGAAAATGTCCTCTGAGACTAATTATTTGGGCCAATAATCACAAATAGTTTCACAGCTCAATTTTTTTCTAATAGGCACATAAATTAAGAAGTTGGCATAACTTATAGATCATTTGTCAATTTACTCTATGTAAAGCAAAGCAGCAGAAGTTTCCTCCTGACCCCCAATATTAGATGAAAAATTGCTTATGAACAGATAGAGACAAGATAATGAAAAGGAAAAAAAAAGCAGGCCCTTACCAAATTCAATGAAACAGTATGGTCTGACAGCAGTATTTGTCTTCATCACGTTGTAAGTAGTAATAAACTCCTTCTGAAGCTCATCCAGGAAAGAGAAGGCGAGAACATTTGGGTAATTTTCAGTGCACAACATCATGTAGCTCACTCCCAGAGAGCTAATAAAACTACAGTATAAAAAACATTGATTTTAAAATCTCAAATTAAATCAAAGCAATTTGTTGCTTCACATGACTGGTTCTATATCCTACAAACTACTGCTACACTAGCAATACAGATATTAACATTTATTACACATTCCAGGAAAAATTTAAAAGAACCAAAATAGAATACTATTTTAAGTTATAGTTTAAAAACAGTAGACAAAAATAATGGAATGTACAACAGAAGGGAATATACTATGATGCTAACATTTCACTTGGGGAAGAAAGGAGGAGGATTAATATATAAACATTATAGCTAGCTTAAAGTCTAACTCATGAAAGGTAATAGATGGGGCCAGGGAGATGGCTCAGTAGAATAAGAGCTTGCCTGGCAAGCACAAGGGCCTGAGTTCAATCCCTGGTTCTGCAAAAGAAAGGTAATAGAAATTAATATATATCAAAAAAAGAAATTAATATATATCAGTCAAAAACCATTTAGAATCTGGTCAAAGTTATGGACACTACTCCCAAAAAGATGTCCAACACAGAACTTTGCATATAATTTTAGAGTGGTCACTGATCTCAGCAATAAATTATGAATCATTGAGGGAACAAGCAGGAATTTAACAATAAGAAATAAAATATAAAGGAGAGAAGAGAGAATTCTTGCTTACAGCAGAATAATAAACATTAACTAGTAAATAAGGAAATAATGCTAGTACTGGAAAAATCACTGTTTTACAACCAATACAACAAAAATTAGACCAAGTAAGTACAATCAGGAATGTTGCATCTAGGGGGAATTTTGATGAGCATCAGTACATATACATGGTTCTACAATCTCTTCCAATGGATTACTAGGTTTCAAGAAGAAAGTATTATATAGTAGAAACTAGACAACACAATGGCCATTCAAAGTATGTTAACAAAGTATGTTAGTGCCATTCATTTGGGGAAGTGAGCATGCACTGCCTCCAGATGTGATACTATAAGACATACCACCTACCTATATAGTATTCTGGCTTAGAATACATATCCTGAATCTAATCATAAAGAAACATCATGGCAAATGTTCTATTTTTTTAAAAATAAAGAGGCATATTCATTGAAAACCTTAATATTGTACATAATACTGAACAAATGTCAAAGAAATGTTTCCAAAGGAGTATAAAGAGCTATGAGAAGTAGATGTAAAACCTAAGCCTAGTCTAGAAATAACCTAAATGCCCATCAACGGGTGAATGGATAAAGATGTGATTTTTTTATACAATAAGTACTATTCTGCACAAAGGAGGATAAGGTCAAGACATTTCTAGGTAAATCGATGCACCTTGAGACCATACTCTTAAGTGAAATAAATTACACACATAAATAAATACTGCATTGTTTCTCTGGCATGAGAAACCAGAAGTGTAAATAAGGACCAAAATGTTGATGTTGTAAGAAAGAAATGAGAATGAAAAACAAAAACAAGAGCATGAAACACAAATTAATCCTTTTAATGAGGATCTTTTATAACACTATCAACATAGCTGGTCTGGAGCAGGGTGCTAAACACAGCATGTGGGCTGTCACTCTCTACTTCTGCAGCATGCACTGCCACTCATGACAGCCGTCTTCACTACTAAACCTAGATCCACACTGAGACACTCCCCCACATGTATTTTCTCTAATAATGTAGATGTGGACCTTACTATTTTTATGTTTTATCACTAGAATAAACATGTTTTCATGATTAAAATTTTAAAAGAATCAAAATGAAAGGGTATATACTGTACTTAAAATATCTTACCCCTCCTCTGCCCACAGGTACCTCGATCTCTATCGCACATGGAACCCATGTTTTTATTCATTTCCTCTGTATCTTTCTGGTGAGAGTTTACAGGTATATAAGTAAATAACTCTGTGTATGTGCTCTTTAAAAGACCATCCCAGGCAGTCAAATTATAGAAGGTGAACACCTATTAATTATCTATGATTAATGGTGTGTGATACACGAACAGAAGTTGTGCTGATCTTTTGCTTCTAGAATAACCTGAAATTATTTTCTGAAGTTCCACTTAATAGTCATTTTTGCAGTATTTTTCAAAGTGTAAGTCATGACCCATTAGTAGGTCATAAAATTAGTGAGTTAAGGCATTTTCTAATAAATGAAGTAGAATTTAACAGAAAATACAGGAATGGTATACTGTTTTAAGAAATTTGAACTTCTCTATGAGAAGGAAAAATTTAACATGAACTATGTAGTGCTGCTCACAAAGTAAACTATATTTCTTCTCAAGGATCATGATCAAAAAATTTAGTGATAGCATACTGAATTCTACAAATATTTAAATCAAAAGCCAAAATATCCTTTCTGAAGTGATTTCTTCTTCATCCAAAAACTTCACTATCAAAATTCTTTGACATGCCATTAGCATTCAAACACATTCTCCCAAGTAAGCTGAATAACTTGAACACGATTGACAATTGGCCTCCACACATTCAAAACTCCCCATCAGTTCAGTAGAAGTTGTCATTATCTTCCTATAATGTCACTAAAAGTTCCAGACCCCATTTTTTGTTATGTCAGGTTTTTACTGTATTTCCATACTCATAAGACCCACAGTTTATCTCAAGTGGTTTATCTTTCTTGTGCTAAATTTACAGAATTATAAGCAAAATAAAGGAAACCCTACTAAAAAGATTACATGTTTATTTTACCATAATTGCATGATACTTTCTGAAAAGGCTATCAAGTGCTCTACATTACAGAAATTCTTTAACCACCTATTTAAAACTATTCAATAAATATATAAATAAAATAAAATAAAAACTTCAGACTTAATGACCCACTGCTTGGAATATGACCCATCTTTTTTATATACATATACAGTCCTGTACATCTTCGTTAGAGCCCCAAAGTCTTTTTTTGTATAGTACACCTTGTTAATATAGTACTGAAATTTTTGCTGATATTATATAAATATTACTGTTTATCTTATGTTATACATTACAGTACTACATGTAAGAGCGTTGCAAATAAAAGTAAAGTCACCAAGTTGGGAGTTTCCTTAAACCATTTCTTTGTTTTGAATATTTTAATGTACATACCATATACAATTCCTCATTTAGTAACCAGTTTAACAAGGAACTTAAGTCATTAAATTAGGAATTCTGGATTACAGCTTTTCCTAGTAAGTTAAGCCTCTTTTCTTTGAAATATAAACACAGTTTTCCAAAAGTATGAATCAGCTCAGTTGGTTCATGCTTGTAATAATAAAAAATGATTTGCTTTTTCAAACTATCACTGGGATGGACAGAAAGATTTCCACCATCTCACTAAAGACTACTGCACTTGGAATAGTCTAAAGTCACTATATAGGCATGCCAGTTGGTGTGTACTTTAGAAGTGTCCAACAGGCTTTCTAAGCTCAGACAATATGGCAGTTGTCCCTCTAACTTGAGGACCAAGAAAAACAGTAGTGGCAGCAGCATGTTTACTGATTACTATGATTAGCCAAGCCTTCTACTTAATTTTATTCTTACAATAAGGTATTCTACTATCTCCATCCTAAATATGAAGGAATAGAGGGTCAAGAGGCTTAGTAACCTCTCCAAGGCCACATATCATTAAGAACCGCAGCTGGGATAAACTCTAGAGCCCATAGTGTTTCCATAACACAATAACAAATTCCATATGGCATAGATAAAACCAAGCATATCCTAATTCCACCAAGTTTTTCATGTTTCTAAGTCACAAACCAGTCTCTATTTTCCCCCAACATTGAATAATGCAACTTAAGGATTTTAAAACTTGTATCATTTATACATCTGTAAAGCCCAGCAGCCCTGCCAACTTCCCTACATCATCTTTCACAACTCTGCCCCTCCCTGTATTTATCCCAGCCACATTAGCCTTATTTCAGCTCCTTATGGAAGCCAATCACCCCAGCCTACCCACTCTCAACCAAAGATCTTCAGACTCTGTCTTCTCCACTTAAATGCTCCAAGTCTCACCTTCTCTATGCTCCAATTTTGATCTGGTTAACACCTACTCATCCTTAGTTCTCAAAGGTTTTCCCAGAACACACTATCTAAACCAGTCCCACATTTTTGGACTAGCATAGTAACTGTTATTTTTCACAAAATAGTCCAAGCTGTAATTGTATGCTCTATGGAAGCAAGGATAATTGCTGTATTGTTCTCCATCATACTCTACAGGATTTTGTGTCTAGTACACAAGTGCTCATAAGTGAGTATATGAGACCAAAGATGGCATCACTCATTTCTTTATATACTAATTTCTTGAGTATAACACACATAATTGTACAGCCCAGTGGTACCTACACAAAGTAGAAGGTCAGTAAATACTTGACAAAAATGACATAAAAGAGAACTGATTCATCAGCTCCTCCAGTTCCTGTTTTGCCAGAAGGCTTCAGGATGCAAGTTAGGGAATCTTGAACACATTTAAAGCCAGGGACATTCTTAGGCACCATAAAGAATTACAAACTCTTGCAGTGAGTATCCGACATGGCTACACAGTTTTAACAGACATATGTACACATGCATAGTACGCATACACTTCAGTTTAAATTGCCTTTTTAAAAGTTTCTTGAGATAGGGTCTCACTATATATTTCCTACTGGCCTCAAGCTTGTGGCAATCTTGCTTCAACTTCTCCATTGTGGGCTTAAAGCATGACCCACTATACCTTGTTAAACTGCCATTTTTTGATCTGACTTTGCTCTAATTACCTTTTTAAATTTTTAAATTCTCCTCTATTTCTTGTCTTTAGTGCCAACAGAGTTGTATCTTTATAGGTGAAAGAGATGGCCTATGATCTGGCCAAGGAATTTATCCATCCTTACTACATCAATGCTTTTCCTTTCTGCAAGATGCATAGGAACTTCTTCAGGTTCATCCAGGGTTAAGTGTGCCCTGAACAGGTAATGCTGGCAAAGTCCAACTTCCAGATAAGGAGTTTTACCCATTCTAATCACTTTGTTAAAAAAGTTAACTCTATCATGTGTCCAACACAT